GTGTGTTAACATGTAACTGTGAATCAAAGAAACCACCAAGGTTCTTAATTCTGCTGGTGCGTGTAATGATATCATGACATGTTTTTCTGGCGTATGATACCACACGCGTTTTAGCAATATTAAGTTTTATGGAGTTAGCAGTGCACCAGTCACTTACGGAATTAATGTCAGATTGAAGTAAGAGGCAATCATGAGGAGAGTTAATAATGCGGAGAATTTTTAGATCATCGGCAAAAATTAGAAATTTACAGTAGATAACGGAGTCACATAGGTCATTTATAAATACATTGAAAAGAAAAGGCCCCAGAACAGAGCCTTGCGGCACCCCGGACGTTGCGTGAAAAGGCAGGGAGAGAGTGCCAGAAACGCGAACCCTGGATTGTCTGTTGGCTAAGTAACTGCGAAACCACCTAACATAAGCATCAGAGAATCCGAAGGAGCTTACTTTATGCAAGAGCATGTTATGAGGGACGAGGTCAAAAGCATTAGAAAGATCAAAATAGACGGCATCAGCTTGACGCTGACCGCGTCAAGAAGTGGAGAAACGTCACCAAATTGGTAACTGTAGATTTAGTTCTGGTAAAGCCATGTTGGTTGGAATTAAGTTTAGCGAAATCAGAAACATGATCATGAATAATGAATTCAAACAATTTAGAGAAATTACTGAGAATAGAAATAGGCCTGTAGTTGCTCACAGCGGCATGATTGCCTCTTTTAAATACTGGTACAACAGGAGATTCTTTCCATGCAGCAGGAAAATACTGCTGCGTCAGGCTAAAGTTAAATATATGCCTAAGTATAGGAATAAAAATACCTGCACAACTTTTGATGATAAAACCAGAAATACCGTCAAGCCCAACAGATTTTGATGATTTAGTCTCTTGATGGCTTTGTAGACATCAGCATCAGAAAAGGGGGCAAGGGATAAAATTTCAAAAAATAATTCAGTTCGTGTTTATTTACGTGCAAATTCTACAGTTCAGAGGCCAATTACAAAGTTAGCAGTAGTAGGCAGAAGGACACAATAAACTAACAAAATACGAAATAATACAGTCTGTATAATAGCAATAAATTAATAATAAAAAAAAAACAAATTCCTTGGCTTGAGCCCGCAAGCGAACTATACCGACCGAACTACCGCCGCTTGTCGGCGAAGTTAGTGCCTCTGTGGTCTAGTGGTCAGAGTTCCTGGCTACAGATCCAGTGGTCCCGCGTTCGATTCAAGGCGCTACAAGATTTTGTGAGAAGTAGTGGGTCTAGAACGGAGTCCACTCAGCCTCGTGACGATAATTGAGGAGCTATTTCAAGGAAATAGCGGCTCCGGTCTATAGAACCGAGATTAACGGCCGTGGGGATCAATTGCGCTGACCACGTGACAACCTCTATCCTCAAAATTAACAATAATAATAATAATTGAAGACAGTTTTATCAGTATTTATTTCAAGTTACAAAAATTCAGTTAACTTTATGATTTTTGGCGTTCATGAAATGGGATGCGAAAATTGACTGTACCTTTGTGAATGATACATCAACTGAAACAGTTGTGTGCATTCACATAGTCATTGCAGTGCTTAATGTGATACTATATCAGTCCAAATCCCTCCCTTTTCCCAACTGACTTGATAGCACAGTCCATTCTCACATAAACTCATGTTGGAAACAATGTCACACTCAGTTGTCATCCACTGTTCTCATTTTGATCTCTCCTCCTCTTACCCCTATCCAGTTATCCAGTTATTGAGGGGGTANATAATTGAAGACAGTTTTATCAGTATTTATTTCAAATTACAAAAATTCAGTTAACTTTATGATTTTTGGCGTTCATGAAATGGGATGCGAAAATTGACTGTAACTTTGTGAATGATACATCAATTGAAACAATTGTGTGAATTCACATGTTTATCATTGCAGTGCTTAATGTGATACTATATCAGTCCAAATCCCTCCACTTTCCCAACTGACTTGATAGCACATTCCATTCTCACATAAACTCATGTTGGAAACAATGTCACACTCAGTTGTCATCCACTGTTCTCATTTTGATGTCTCCTCTTCTTACCCCTAACTGTTCCCTTTATATTCAAAGTATGTTTCAGAGCTAAATACTCTTAAAATATTTATCCAATTACTCCCTGAAGCTCTTTGATTACAACAAATATTTCTCTTAATTAAGTTTTAAATACTTTACTTCAGCAATATTTCTCACATAGCTTTCACTTTTTGAATACATTCATCATAACTTCCAAAAATTTAAGTATTTCTGTCGTTAATATTGAATAGACCTAATATTTTAGTTACTGGAATGTTGGTGATAAAAATTTCAATCAACTTCACAGAAATGTTTCATTGTTGCGAATGCTTACGTCTGGAACATTGCCACGGACAACACCAGCGTCACACGGTGATAGACCGCAAGAGCTGACCTCTCTGACCTTCAGATCATCAGTCTACCTCCCTATTACGGACTACAATGGAATGGGAGAAATCCTTAATTGGTTACCAACGTCAGGTCTGATTTTCCCTTGGCGTAACTTGTAACAAATGACTGTTCCTCCGCCAAGCACTTTCTTCTCCTCCACGCCAATAATCTGAAGTCACAAACATGTCCACCATTCATTCAGTCACCCGGTTGGAGGTGACGTCTTCACTTACAAGAATCGGCTTGTTAATAAATCCAGCAGAATTTTCTGCACGTTTCATCAAGAAGAGAATTCGGATTTGAAGCTGTGTTTATTTCTAAAAATTTATTTAAATGTACCACTTGTTATGTGTACAGGGATTAAGTAAAAAGTAAAGCAATCCCTGTAACAGACCGTGGAGACCCATAGGGTTGTGAGACGTTGAGGTTCCCACATTATCTAGACAATCGGCTCAAAGATGGCAGTAAGTTTGTCAGCCTTACGCGCCGGCCGCGCTTTATTCCCCAGGTCAATTATTTAATTAATTCCTGGTGCTCATTTCTGTTAGAGCCTGAGTCAACCCCAGGGCCATAGTACGGCTGTAAGGATTAGGTAAATTGAAAAAAAATCCAATGACCTCTTTGGGACTTGAACCCGCGACCTTCCCCCCGCATAGCCCCCTCAACCAACTACACTACCGCGTGTCAAACAAATCAGTTCTTTCTCTCGCGCTGTTACCCTGTGAGCAGATAATATGGCGTCGTTGGACATGCTGCAATTTTGCTTTAGGGGTGTCAAACAAGGGTTCAAATTAAAGACAAATGATGAAGGATAATGATGCAAGTGGTTAGCGAAATTCAGTTCCATATAAAAAACTCTATAAAGTATAAATTTGAAATTCCCCTCGGCGCTACAGCTCAGGGTGAGCTTTGGCCTCCTGAACAATCTCCCCCACTTATCTGTTTTTCCGTCCTTCCGAGGCTGATTGTCTGGTTTCTGAACAATTTAGTTTGAGGTTATTAGCCTCATACCCAACCTCCAATCTGGAGGACCAGGTTATCACTCTTCGTCTTGCTCCTACCCCTTAACCTGTCCGGCATGGGTGACCCTACCAGTAGTTACGCTACCGCCGGCATAGCTCATGGGAGCACTCAAACCCCACCACCATGACAAGATGGAGAAGCCAACGGTGGGGATTCATTCAATTAGATTCCAACGTCATCTGGGTATCCATGTTTATATTTTGTTTCCATCAGTATCCGGGTTTAACTTAATTAACCAGTTTAAAAAATTCCACATCAATGTTCAGTGTTTAAATAAAACTGCCCAGAACCTCAAATTCAGAGACAAATTCACTTAAACTCTTTCTTGATCTTGTAGTTCAGATGAAATAACAACAGATGTCACATGCTACCAGATATAACAAATTGACTGGTTCAGAACAGGATTGTGTGACAAATTTTCGTGAAGCAGTGAACTGGATAGGACGGATTAGTACGATTTCTCCACGATAGTAATTAAGCATGAACATCATGTGATAAACCTTCGGGCTCCATGACAGAGAACATCTTTATCAGCTGAATAATAATAATAA